CTTGGCTCTGGGTCACACTAGGCCTCTTTGTATACCTCCGAGTTCAGGCTGGTCCTGGGTGACAAGCAGCTGAATAACGTACTGCGAAGAGACTACAAATGTGACATGGTGACCATATTTGTCTTGTTTGGGTCAAATGTCATGTTATACTGAGAGTGCTTGACAAATGCGTAATCCTGACATAATATCCCATTCACTATTGTGCTCATGCTCAACCTCTTATGCTATAAAACAGACTCCTTTTTATACTGCATGTTATTTTTGGATAATATATCTTCTGCCAGAGACAAACAGAGCAAGGTCTAACATTAGTGACCTCATCTATTCTGCGACCAGCCTTACATCACACTCTTGGAGCCACTCTGTCTCATGCTGAAGTAGGTGTTCAGTTGACCAGCAGATTACTGTGTAACTTAATGTTCTTTCCTGTAAAGATTTGCGCTGCACTGATACTGTTATCAAGAATAGACTCACTGAGACTGCATTCAGACATTCTGCACAGTGCCTGACTTATGCACACATACATAAAGGGACACCTCAGCTAGGGGTAGGGTGGGTGTAAACTCAACTGAAGGAAATCAGCAGCAGATGTGGTGTAAAGTAATGCAGATGGAGACAGGGAAACCCTCTTACTAGGACACCAAGTCCACTTTAAAGGTTATTTAAAGTCATACTAATTGTGCTGGTCTTAGCACTTCATACATGTTTTATTTTCTTTTTATCAATTTATTTATTAATTGCTTGGTCTATTTAATGTCAGGATATAGTGAAAAATGCTTAGCACAATTCCCTAAAGCCCAAGTTAATGTCTTCAAATGTTGTGTTCTACAATCCAAAGATATTCAATTTACAATGATATATATAACAGAAAAGCAGTAAATCCTCTCATTTGAGAAGCTGAAACTTGAGAAATATTATAATATTTATTTCTCTGCACTGATCCATGAATTTGTCAATATAGCAATGGTGGTTTGGTACTACTCGCATTGTTGCCAGAAGCATAAAGATCATTCTTTGATCTTTGCTCTCGAGGCCGTGTTCTGATAAAGACTGGCATGAAAAAAATGATTTACCTGGTAGTAAGCTGAGTCAGAATTAAAATTTGATGTGTATTGGTGTTTTTTAACCTGGAGATGTGAAAGGCACTTTTGTCTCTCATTTAATGAAAGCTGTCTCAACACATACCAAACTCATAGTCAGACAGGGAGGAAGAAAAGAAGCAGAAGGCAAAAGAGGTGTAGGTTTTCATGAGGATTCCTTGGCTGCAGTGAAGCCCTCGATTTATGTGTCTGATTAATTGCTTTTCATATAAATCATAGGTATGGGCCCGGGGCATCACTCCCTGTCTTGAGGTGTGTGAGAAAACAAGGCAGAAATGTGGGGGAAAGGGTTCACAATGAAGGGAAGAAACAAGATGACAGTTGTGTGTTTGAGTCGATGAGTTGCCAATAAAGTCTGTATGTGTGTAAAGTCTGTGTGGCCTGAAAAGAATGAGTGATGCTGTGTCACCGAGGGGCTCGGATTGATAATAGATCCGCAAAGTATTGTGTAACTGCATGTCAAGCCCTGTGGAGATGTGTGTTTATTTACTTCTGATGATTGAGGTTGTGTAATTGTTTACACTGGGGCAGCTTGTTATTCAAATGAGTAATTTTCCCCTCTGTCTTGTTAAAGTTCAGTTCATTGGGAAGCCTGCACTGTAGAAGATTGCTTCCCTATAAACAGTGACCTCTGCACATTCATTAACAAACGCTCAGCAAAACCGTAGATTTAAATGTCTGAGTGCATTCTCTCACTTGTGAATGTACAGTTTGTGTTAAGCTTCTGCCCCTTTATGTGGCTAGTATTGAATGCAGCTCTTTATTTCTGTCTGTTTTTTCTCTCATCTCCACTTCACCCATTTCTATCTCTTTCCAAGCCCTCCCACTTCAGCCCCTCCGCCTTGGCACTCAGGCTGCTCCTATCACTTCCATCAGCTTGCTCCAGTCCATGTCTCTGTGACGTTAAATACCATCCTTCTACTCATCTGCACCCAATTTTCTCTCGTCCCTCCCCGTCTCCCTGTTATCTCCTTTTTATTTCTCACACCACTGATGGCAGCCAAGTCTGTCTGCTGAAGTTTGTACATGTTTCCTTCTTTCTCCACTCTTTTTTTTCCATCCCCCCGTCTCTGTCCCTCTAAACGAGCCTTTCAGAAGCTGTCGGTCGTCGGCATCACCTCTGTGTCCGTCTGAACATGTGAGTGCAGAAAGGAGGGAAGTATGGAGGGATGGAGACTGATTGGTTTGTGCGGGAGGCTTTGAAGCACTTAGAAAGGGAGGTAGAGAGCCACTGAAGAGAGGAGGACCAAACCAGAAAGATGGTTTTCGTCTGGAAAGCCTCATCCTGGTTATCTGCTGAGCGGCCGGGTAGCCGTCTAATGCGGACACGCACAAAAAACTGTCACATGGCTTTCTGACCATTCACATGTAGTCACATTCACTTCCTGTGGCCTCTTTACAGACTGCTTGCTGAGCTAACTGCCACTTAGATAGATAGATGGACATAGATGTGTGGGAACAGGCCATTACACTTCCAACTATTAGATTGGCAGTTACGCTGTCCACATCAGTCTCCTCTCTCAAGGATCTAAGTTTCAGGAAACCATTACTTCATTCTCTGTTGGTATAGTTAACTGTTAGATAAAGAGATTGATATTGTGAGCAAGCTGACACAAAAGCAGAAAACACTGGGCTGAAGGAGAGCCAAGGAAGCCGCAGGGGTAGCTGTGAATTACAGGGCCTTCAAGCCAACCTGGGGGAGGAAAAAAAATAAAGAGAGAAGATAAAGAAAGTCAGTGGTGAGCGCAGCCTTCACTTTCAGCCCAATAAAGAAAAGAAGCTGACAGATAGGTTGTGGCAAACCAAGCGTTTCTTTTTCCCTCTTCTTTATTCTCTCTCCTCTGTCCAGACCACTAATAGCTGTGTCCTCTCATACTCCTTCATCCTTCTCTTCATCCTTTCCTCTTTTCAGGGGGAGAATTGAGGAATTGTGCCTGTTCCATTACCAGACTCTGTCTCTTATTTTTGGTTCGATAGGCCTCTCTTTCTGTTGAAACTTTACAGCAAAGGACTGGATATATCATTTTGGATTGGAGACACAAAACAACCGCCTTCAGAAATCAGGAATTCGTTTTGTTTCTTTTACAAATACACAAAAAACCCAACTGCCTTTCTTCATGGGATAATAGCTTATCCAAATGTCTGTCTGTGCATGTTTTCATTCTTCTTCTCTGCATCTTTCACTCTTTCTCTTTAAAGGCTCCATTCACACCTCTGCCCCTGCTCTGTTTCTCCCTTCCACCCTCCCTCTACTCATCCAGGCTGAGTTGAGGTGCAATGTCAGGCATATATCGGGAAGTATGTGTGCCTCAGTGTGTCTCTGCTGCTAAGCAGGTGTGTGTGTTCTGCATATAGAGGTGCGTCCCACTGCGGTGTTGAAGGAGTCTAAAGAGGTGAGGCAGAGTGTGAGACTGTCATGCTGACTGTGCTGACAGTTGTGGAAGGTTGTAGGTTGTTGGGACACGGAGAGCATCCGATCAATGTGTGTGTGTCCATTGCAGCTACAGATGCATAACATACCACCACAATCCATCTGTTAGCAGAAGCACTTAAAGCATGTTTGTGTCTTTTGCTTCGCTCTGAATTTCTTTTCCACCCTTACAGCCTATACCTCAGTCTCGCCCTGTATACTTTTTGCATGACTGTATGAGTTTAGTGATAGATTTTTGCCTTTCTCCTGTGGCTCTTTACCTAATTGTTAGGCAGAGCAAAAGGGTGGCTACAGATGAGGGAAAAGCTTGACTATGAGAGTATCCCCCAAATTCTTCTGTTTTTTATTTTTCAGAGCAGCGTAGTTCATTCTCATGGCATCCATGTGCATGTAAAAACAGGCAGCATATTTTCCATACAGGCCCACTGACAGATGGGTCATGGTCAGAGTGCTTGTATAGAAACACCATATTCCAGGGATGGTATTTCCTTTGTCTTGCTTATTTTGAGTTCATAATGACATCTGTGTTCTTTCTTTTTGTTCTAAGTTTAAGCATCAATCACTTTTTGACCTCAGTTTTGTATAAAACTTGCGTTCATGAAATGGAGTGCAGTCTTTGTCCTACAGTTTAATCTAAAAAACTATAAATATTATTGCGTGTTGAGATGGTGCAGCGGGGCTGTTGCAGGCGCCTGCTTGTTTACACAACTATCTGCAGTTTGTGTTTGTTTGGAGTCATGTGATAGAACACAGGTCTGTGATAATGGAGTCTCTTTCTCCTCCTCTTTTTGGTTTATTCGACCCATCACTGTTTTATTTTCTTTTGCCCTGCAGCTGTTTTTGTTCAGCTTGGTTTACTTTCCATCCAAAATGTTAGGTCAAATACAGACTTGTACCCATTTCACAAGCACACATTACAATATTCCAGTGTGTTTACATTTCCTGCTCAACATTGCAGACAACATAGCACTCCTGACACAGAGAATCATGGCTCAAACAAAGAACTTTAACATAGCAGAGTTTGACTTTAGGCCTAAGCCCTGATGACCCTGAGGTCAGTTTACAACTTTTCAAACCTTTAACCCACCCAAGTGTCACTAGCGTAGTGTGAAAATGGTGTTACTAGGGCTGCAATAAATGAATATTTTCATTATTCATTTTATTTGTCTATAATTTTTTTGGAACAATTACTCTATAAAATGTCAGAAAATAGTAGAGATTATGTCTTCAGATTGCTTTCTGTGTCTAATGAACAGTAAGAAACGTGATGTTGAATCCATAGTAATATTTAAGAAAATTGCTAGAAGCTGTAATAAGTAAATGTTTGGCATTTTTCCTGGATAAGACACTACAACAACTAATGAATTTTCAAGATTGTTGCCATTTTCTGTTGATCGATAAACAATAATTGTTTTAGCAGGAGGTGTAACCCTCTCTCTCTCTCTCTCTGTCCCTTTTTCATTCCCCAGGGGCAGTACCGGCCTTCAGACCTCGTGTGCCCAGAAACCTTTGTCTGGGTACCAATAGAGCGATGCCTACCCCAGCTGGAGAACTCCCGCTATGCTCGTTTCAACCAGGATCCTGATGCAGGTACACTCCACTCTACTGTTATCTTTATCCATTTAGGGCCTTTGATGTCTGAAACTGGAGGAGACTGCATTTTTCTGCATTTATCCCATACAGTTGCATACATTTCTAACATCACTAACATAATGAGCTGCCGCTGTGAGCTCAGTCTTGAATCCTCCAGTTCTTGGTACGCTCTGTTCTGGATGAACCCATGAACCTTGTGTTAACATCTGATCCGGTTTCACTGTGATGGTGTATTGAAAACTGTGGGCTTGTTCCAAGGCAGCATGCAGTCACTGAACAGGGGTAAACGGAGGCCCCCCCCCCACCACCACTACCAATGATCCTTCAGCATGATCAGAGCAGAGCCAGCACTGTCATTATGAAGGGACCACGTTGCCATTAGATGAATAGTGATATCAGCATTAATAAACCGCATGCGGAAGGTAGACTGGCAGACGCCCAGTGCTTGGACTGGCGGGGTGAGAGATGGGGGCCAGGGAGAGTGTTTAATAGTGTATAAGTGAGTTTGAGAGTTTGAAAGGAGAGTTTTTAAGGATTTTCTGCATAGGTGCATAGCCAGAGACTGATAGATTTTCTGTCTCCCTTTCCCATGTCTTAAATCTCTCTCTGCTCACTCTCCAGTGTTGAGTCTGCATTTTTGTGCTCTAGGTGGTTTTTAGGCGAATATGCAGTCAAATTCCTAATGCTTCCACATAAACCAAACTGGAATTGCTTGTATCATATGGTTCTGCATGCTGAGCAAAAAGACTCACACCTCATTTAGACACTGGGTATGACACTGGTCAGCTTCAGAATGATGAATGATGATGTTGGTGTGAGTGCGCATTGTGCACAGGTTTAAACCTGAGTACATACATACGCATGCTGTTGATATTCCAAGTGCTTGTAACCTGAGTGGTTGTACAGGTGCCAGCCATCTCCTGTTTACTCTTCCCCATTAATCTGCATCACCAAACAGGAAAGAGCCACTGATGGACAGTAATAGGAGATGTGAGAGGACAAGAATTTGATTGTCAAGTGGACTGGGACTGACGGATGGAGGGTAAGAGAGGGAGTAGCAGAAGAATAGATGAGAGACGGGTGGGGGCATGTGATAAAAATGATTTTATAGAGATGGGAAAAGAAAGGGAGGGAGGCTGGTGTATGCTGGCACTAGAAGAGAGAGGAAAGTATAATAAAATTGGAGATAGACTGACAGGGAGGTGGAGGAGGAAAGAGGGATGTATGAATGAGGAGAGACGGCTCAAGAGTTTGTTGTGATGAGGTCATACTTGGACTTGGTGCCATGCAGAGAGGTATAAACCAACACAAATAATGAACTTCAAAGGGCTCTCTGGCACGGATGCCCCTTTTCTCTGTCCCCTACTTCAGGGGTCACATTGTGCGATGAGCTAAGGTTTGCGGGCATTAAGTGCACCAGCTATGAAGAATCCAAATCTTAACACATGTCTAAAGGAAATAACGATTCTACACATTTTCTTGATTTCCTGGCTAGCTTTTGTTGTTGACTTAACTGGTGGTGAAAGCACCACACCCAGGAGAAATGAGGGCATTTAAAAGACCATTAGTAGGCTGGTCATTTACAACATTGCCATTAACAGCTTAGCCAGCGGTAGGTCTGACCTTTTCTTGTCAATCATACTACTTATCCCTGAGTAGGCACACATTACTAAGGACAAAGTGGCGGTCTTTTCACTGTGGCCAGAGAATGTTTGTATGTCTGTGGCTCTTGTGGTGCCTCTATTCCTGCGTGCACTGTTGATCTTGGACGGGTCTGGACATTATTTCAGGCCTAGCTGTCCAAACGCAGTGTCATTACATTTCAGTGCTAGCTGTCTTGATGGTTAGGGTCCCAGGTCTGCTGCCAAGCTCCAGGAAGCCAAACTAGTGGTGGTGTGGAGGTTTCTGTCCTCTCCAGAAACACATCTAGTGGTCACTCGGTCACCAGGTCAGCCTGCCCTGTGTCATCGTCTGGTTGGCAGCATGGCACACTGTTGAGGCCTGTGGCCGAGTCCTAATTGGCAGTTTGTCTGTGTGTGGCTTGTTTTTGGCTGAAATAAAGACATGTTGCAGTCTGTTTTTAAGTCCTGGGGAAATCCTGACAGCTTGTAATGGTTTTGGAATTTCCAGTGTATCTTTGTGGAAGTAAGTATCTATTGCAGTCTCATTTATTGAGCTGTGTGATGATTGTGGTGTGGTTGATTAGACATTTTGCACTCTGGCCTGATTGCTCACTATGTTGGCAGTTGGTTCAATGGACAACCTTATTTATCCACTTTGTTCTGTTGACTAACAACAAATATTCAACATCATATATTATCCTCCTTGGTACTGACATTTTTATCAATGCCCCTATCAACAGGGTTATGTTTTTGGTACATAAAATAAATGGGTTAGAGGGAGGCATATGTTAAAAAGCTTGGTAGAAATGAGCGTTTAAATGTAGCCATATAAACAAAAATGTTACTTGAGATTATAGGAGAGTAAAGTTCCTTTGGAAGTCAGCAGAATCGAGAATCGGGGTGCTGCTTGTGCGTTCAGATTGTAAGGGTGACCGGGTTAAAGAGTTGTCCTAATGAGGTGTGTAAAGACAGCTAATCTAAAGTTTACACAACTCTGTCCAAAGCAGGCTCACATTGATTACATGCTTGTTGCTGACACATCGAGGGCCCTAGGGCCTCGTTGTGGCGTCTCACAAATGTACATACAGTATGTACACACACACTCTGCACAGCACATATGTACTATCTCTCACACGCTTATAATCAGTGTTTGCTTGACAGAGAAAGAAGTGGGGCCATTGCCCGCACAGCAGGATAAACACTTGCAAAAATGTATGACACAAGTAGTCACCCCCTGGACCTTAAGTGTGTCCGGCAGGCGGCAACCCAGACACACAAAATCACATATTGCATACAAACACTACACTAAGTTGTGTTAAGTAGTATGTCTAAAATGCTGAGATAGAATATTTTCACTCTGTTTGTCTCTCTTTCGTGTCTCACACAAATAGACACATTCACTTCGCCATCAAGCTGACTGACTGTGAGATCTACGTTATGTGCTTTCAGCCATGCAAAGTACATCCAAATCATTAGGTGGGGGTGACAGTGCTAGCCTGACAGCATCCGCCCATTACCCCCAAGCCCTCTGCCTTCTCCACTGTCTCTACCTTTTACAGTACACACTTTCATATCTTGTCTCACTGTCAGAGCCACTTTGCTCTGCTCTTCACCAGGCTTTCTGCTCCTTAGCCTGACTTGCGCTAATGTTCCATTCAGAGTGGAGGGGAGACAGATATCACTACTCTCACTTTCTTGTGTCGGGATTTCGTTTTTCCCCCCCAGATCTGCTGCACTTTTCCCTTATTTCAATAACAATAATAATGATAATGTCCTTTATAATCTTGGGGAATTCATGCTTTCTTTACCATGGAGGTCAAAATTCACGGTCAGTTACAAAGATTCAGTGTCCTCCTTTGAGCTATTCGGATGCATGCTAACACAAGGGCTTGAACCCAGGTCTTCCGGTCAAAGAGCAGTCGTCTTACTACACCACCGTTTTGGCCTTTTTCTTTTCAAACGTAAGCCCTATTTTGGATTTGCAACATTGGGTCACAGGAAGTGGTCATAACCTGATGGCCTGTCTTTTACCAGCGTCCGGTGTTAAGCAAGTGTTTTGAAGGTTCAAGATGGATGGGAAGAGAGAGGAACGTGGCGAGATGTCAGGGCCTCTAGCCTGGGTTCTGACCCTCTCACTCCCCGATCGACCCTCACCACTCCTCTTTCCCCCGACCCTTGAACCCTCGACCCCGAGGAGCTGCGACCTCAGAGCGGCGTGTCACTGAACGTCCGGTGGGCCTGACTGGAACAGGCTCTGGAGCTACTCAAAATTAGAAGGGGGGGAGCGGGCATCGATGAAGGACGGAGTAAGTGAAGAAGAAATGAAAGTTGTTTATGTGAGGAGCGGATGTTTGGATTGCCTTGAGTAAGAGAGAGAGATAGGGCCTCTGCTCTGTATTACTGTTGAGGTTAATAGACCATCTTAGAGCTGCATGCTGCTATCCGTTTTGGTCTGTAAAATGTCCACTACTTAATAGCTTCACAAGGGGACAGTGGTGCTTTAGACCAGTGTCACACAATTGAATGTAGTGACTGTTGTGTAAGTGGGCCGTCGCACTGATAAAAACCATGAAGGAGGCACATGGCGCTCAGAGAGACAATGCTGAATAAAGCTTAAGTTATTAAGGAAACATTGGACGTTTGAATATTTTGCCTTTCATCTCATCAGGACGCATTCAGTCTAAAATGGACCAAAATTATGGTCATGTGGAAGTTACATAACATGTTTACATCTTTTAAAACCCATTTCCCCACATGGTGAGACTTAACATACTGCTGATTTATGTCGTTTAAAAGTTTGTATCAAGCATTCTTCAATTATGTGACTCAGCAGTTTTTAGAGAAGGGAGAAAGATACAGTGGTTAGGGCATTACTGAGGAGGGAAATGAGGCTAATAAATAAAACATGAATCCACAGTGTGGTTTGAAAATGTAAAAAAAATAATTTAAATATAAAAATATCTTTATGCAGGGGGAGTGAGCACGGAGGAGCCTCTGGGCTGTTTATACCCAGCTCTGTTCTTTCCTCTGGCTTGCTTTTCAGGTAGAGTCTGCGCAAGTTAGATGACATGAATATTTGGGACATTCTCTCACTGTATATCTACATAAAACCACATCACTAGCTTACTTGAATAGGCGATGATGAGCAGCAAAGTTGCAAAGCTTTTAACACGTTTTTGATCACATCCAGCCCATAAATAGCTATGGTCCAGTGCAGTGTAACATCTGACACCAGAGAGTTTTGTTTGTGGTATTACGTCACAGTTTGGCTTTTCTTCTATTGTCTTGTTTACCCCGTTGATTAGGTGATCAGGTGGGATTTGGCAGTGCTATGGCGAACATTTTAGGCAGAAATATGTGCGCTCACATCACTCGTACCACCTGGGTGCTCAGCTGTGAGCCACATGGGTGTAGTCAGGGGGAGCGGTAGTGGCGAGTGGAGGCCCCGAGCTCTATTAATACCAAATCTAACTCGCTTCTGTTTGACTGATGTGTCGCCATGGGCATGGCAAGCTAGTCCACTCCACTTCCACTTCCACTTCCACTTCCACAGCCTGGCCTGAAGTTTATTTTCATATGCGTCCTCTCAGTTAGGCTAGACCAGGATTGCTCCACACAGGATTGATTGGATGAAATATTGTATGTACAGCATGGAGAGGATGTGCATTTCAGAAGGCGCGGTATAAATTTAACATCTTAGGCATTTTGCAGTCGGTGAAACGGCTTGAAACGCTTGAAAAAGACGACCTTAGGGGCTTAGCTAAAAGCTGAAAAGAGAGACAAAAGCATTTTAAGAGGGCAATTAGAGTAACTAGAGCTGGAATGTCATTCATTGGGGACAGGGTGACATGAGATCCTTATTGAAGTTCCAGTGAATGACAGCAAATAAAGGGCTCCTCAATTCTGTCTGGAGTGGGAAGATGATTAGTGCTCACGCTGAATTTTGGGACCCACTTGCATTCACACATAATTTGCACTATACTTGAATCAGCTGATACTCCCCGCTGTGCTACCCCCTAGCCTGTCCTCTTGCTGCCAGCTGTGAGCAGATTGGCTCAACGTCTCACTCCTGGAGGCTGCAGTTTTAGTGTCAGAGCGAGGGTCATCATTTTTTAGCCTTTTTTTTCCATTCGGCTCTCCAGAGGACCATTGTTAGCTGCTGAACACGCACACTTTTGAAATTAGCAGTGTTTTCACTGGTCTAATGGGAGCTGGCAGTGTATGACACAGGACCTGATGAAATGCCGAGTTTGGTAAGCCAGCAGGGAGCAAGGCCCCATAAACAAGGCCAGCTAACTAGCCTGCACACGCACCACTATGTCTCCAGGTTTAGGGCATAGGGGAATTAGGGCTATGGGGGAAAAATGCTCTCTGCTCCTCCAGCAGCTTCTCGGAATAATGGTGTTTCCTTGCCAAGTCACTCAGAGGTTAAGTCATAAGAATGAGGGAAAATAAGGACAATGTTTATCGTGCTTGATGTGTCTACGCTGGTCCTTATTATGTTCTCATGTGTGCCTGTTTGTGTCCAGGAGATGCTCGGGTGCTGAAGGACGTGGGCAGAGTTATGGTGCTATACAGACGGACCGTCATGCCCTACGCGGCCTACACCCGCAAACGCAAAGGCTCCAACGACGAGACGGAGGTGCAACAGTACGCCGGCTTGGTTGGACAGGACTGTGCTGAAAGGATCTTGTTGTACCGCGCCTAAACACACAGCAGCACACCACTGCACCTTTTTAATATACGTAAATACACACTTCCCAGCAATGTCTGTCTGTTTCTGTTTCTGTGTGTCTGTGTGTCTCCTCAGTGTCTATGAAAGCGCTTTCTGCTGCCTCTCCCAGTAGTGTCACCATGCTTGGCTTTAAACCGGCTGGAACAATGCAGTAGCCACCCACTATCTTCTGTATGTATGTCACCCATTGGCCTCATTCATCAGTTATGTCTCATTCACATTTATTTTATGAGTTGAATTTCATTCATCAATAAATCTTGCAGCATCCATTCTCAGTTTAATTCCTATACATCTTTTAGTTTGATTATCTCCATACCGGGACCAGTCCCTTGAATGTTATTTTGATATATCATATAGTCATCGCTTTGATTTTTTGCTCTATCCTCAATCACAAATGCTAAAATAATGATATTGTAAAAGAGCCACACACAGGCGACAGCTTTCTTATGAACTGACACAGGTTTAGACTCAGCATTGCCACTTGAAGAGCATGTTCCTCTATGAATGTTCAGTGATTTTGAAAGTGATTTTGAAGGTGGTTTTTCAGTTGCTTACATTATATCCCAAAACATAAAACTGAGTCATCTGACACCACAACATTAAGATTTTTATCACTGGGTTAATGTGAAGCAAATAATTCATTGTTTTCAATGTTTTATGTTATAAATGTTATGTTCATAGCTTCCTTTTTCCTTTTCTTTTAAAATTCACACTTATTATTTTTGCTTAAACTGAATAAAAGGGTTGTATATTCCCTGCTTGGACTTGGTGTCTTTTCTTTGCATACTAATTATCCAACACAGCCCTGAATCCAGAGGCAGCGGGATTTTGGAAACAGGGCAGTAATGTATTGAGTCCTCTTGCTAGCACAAACTGTATACATTTTTACACATACAGTAGTAACTTTGTGTCTCCAAAAACACATGTGCACCCAGAGATAAGTGCTTGTGTTGAACTTGTTGAATTGGGCCAAGCAACAGGTGTTAGATATATGAGCTGGCAGAACACAAATGCGAATGGCCTCTTGCCCTCAAACAGAGTGTCAACAGCAGTCCAGCTCTTAGCCAGGACTAGGGCTCGGCCGAGCTGGTGTCAGCCAGCAGGCTTCAGGTCTTGATGAACAGAGCTTGTAACCGTACAAGCTACGACGGTCATGGCAGTAGCTTAAGATCTTAACACTCCTTGTCTGTAGTTACAGTAAATGTTAGTGGTTTTAACATGCTTTAGAGGATTTTAGCAAATTTGAGTGTGAAAAAGTATGCAGTGGAAGTCACAAAGCCATCATAGCTCTCTTTACAGCCTCTGTGTAACTAGTGTAACTTAGTTAGGCTAAATGTGGTAACTGTTGTGCTAAATGTGTAAATGTATTTTTTTAAGTGTGTTTTAATCCTTTGAATCACATTGACGCAATTTAGCAAATGTCAAATCTGAACACACATCATACAAACACTCAGCGTGACTCACTCTTTCCAGTGTCTCAAATCTATGATGTCCATCGCTGATAAATCCACTTAAAATAAATGGTCTTTAAAACTTAAAATCTTGCTTTGATAGTAAAGCAATTAAGATTTTTTTTAAAATGAATCAAGCTGACCTTTGTCTGAACATCCCTGGTGCAAATAAGAACTACAAGGACTATACAGTATGTACTGCAACACTACAGACAATATTTATTATAATATAGCAAATAATCTGGAAAATAAGTCAGAATCTAAAATGATGCTATCCTGTGAGTGTTGGTTGTGCGTGTCCTCAGAAATCCTGCTGCACACATAAATCTATTTCTGAGATTGTCGCCAAGCCGCCACCCAGCAGGGTGAGAATCATTCTTCTGGATGCTTACCTAGAGACATACAATCATGCAACTAACTGAGCGAAAAGGGTAACCACAGACTGTTAAGTGTCAGTTTGACCCTGGCCTAGAGTTGTATTTGTGCAGCGGCTCTGCTCTCCAGTGCGGCCTGACCTGCCAGCCTGTCTGCACCCAATCCTGAGAAAACAGTTGAGAGAGTCAGTCTCTCCAGTTTAAACTCAACCTGTGTTTAAGAGCAGCCTGTGTCCTCTGGAATTAGGATAGATTGACAGGCTAATTCTCCGAGAAGGGAACACTGACGCTGGCTAGTGGCCATCTTGGATTCACTGTTTCTCTCCCACATTAGACATGCTTCCCCTCAGAGTTAATGTGCACTCACACGGACCCACACACACACACACTCCTGGCACTGTCACGAGCAGTTAGTCTTGGTGGACGCCACACATGAGGACATGTGCCAGTACTGTGGTGGACCTTTTTCTGTCAAAACAAGTGGCCTGGACTGGTTGGCTATTTTATAATGAGCCCATAATGCTGCAAGACACAGCATGGCAGGGTTTGGACATTACGCTGATATATAATTGTGTCACTGCTCATAATTCTTATTAAGTATGAGGTCTGTACTGACCACGCACTGCTGCTGAAATACCGTTCAGCCAAAGGTCAACATTCATAGAATAAAGGGGCCTGGAGAGAAGGCTTTATCTTCATGTCAAACCTGAGTCACAGAGATGGTTTAAATACTCTCTATGGTTTATTTTAGGCCGTGTTGGTGCCAAATAGGTGGGGTTTGTCGCACTGGAAAATAAAGAGTCTGCCAAAAAGCTGGGAAAAAGAGAGTATGACCCTGTAGTAAGATAACATTTAGAGCGAGACAAGGTTACATTCTCTGAAGAAAATGTAAGTGTGCCTGCTTTGACTGAAAATTGCACTCTGTAAACAAATTAAAATATCTTTAAAGTTAATTATTTGCATATGGCGTGTTGTATGTGAGTTGCAGTTGAAGATGAAGCACTTACAGATTTTAAAATGTCAGTTAAAGTCAAAGCAGGACGTAATGGAAGTGTCTGTTGAAGTGTAATTAATGAAAGCCTTTGCAAATTTAGATTCAAGCCCTGTTGGCAGATGAATTGTGAGTTTGTATGTAAGCACTGAAAGTAGTTGAAGAGTCATATGAAGAGGAAGAGATGAAAGCAGTTGAAATGTCTGTGTGCAAGCCAAGAAAGCAGTTAAACCGTTACTTGAAATGTTAGTTGAGAGACATTTCAGTTCAGGTGTAGTCCCAGAATAAGCTGAAGTGTGTGCACTGTTGAAGTGGCATTTAGTTATGTAAGCAGTGACAGCAGTTTAAAAAGTCAGTTTAAGCTCAAGTAAATAATTATTTGTTAGAAGTATTTCTATCTCTAATCTGTTACACAACAAAGCCTCCTCTCCATTTTCTGCTGCCTTCTGCTGTTTTGCTTCACCATAGATGCAATGTGGCCAGATGAAAATGACAGGGGGACCCACAGAGTAAAGAGGATGTGTCAGCGTGAAATAGTATGGGAAGGAAAAGCGAGTCTGAAAATAAGGAAAAAGAGACACCATGCCTGACGTTTCCCCCCTTTTTCCAAACGTCTAATCCAAACTTGCGTGTGGAATCATGTCAGAGAAATATGGAATAATATCCCTCAGCTGTTTATGTAAATGTCTCTAAATGTTACATGCTGCCTCAGTGAGTATTATTTGATTTTGTGGTTAAATAAAAGAGGGAAGAATGTGTTTAGGAAAATAATGGTTTTGCAGATTGTAATCTTTCTTAAATATTCATTTTCCCTTATGGTAGGAACACAAATGCTGCCAGGGGGTGGAGTTGGAAGTGTATGTGTCATCCACCAGCATCTGATCACATCTACTGTATGTATGAGTAAACCGGGACTCTGTGTAGCATCTGAGGGCGCTATTACATGACACTGTCTTCCTGTTTGTAAATATGAAATTATCTGTAGGCAGTAAGCTGTTTGATCTCTCTCTTTTTCGGCCCTTTACTGTGCTAATCTTTCTACAGTACACACAAGCTTCATTTCATCGTACCCGTGGGCAGAATGTAAACACAGAATCTGCCCATAGTATGCAGTGTGTGTGTGTGTGTTTACTCTTGCTGGCCCTTGTGTGCGTGGGTTGCTTGTTTGGATTGGCTCCCCATAAGGACAGTGTGAAATTACAAGTTTGTTTTTTTGATTCTCCCATGCTTACTTCTCCGTCCACTGTCGCATGTGTACAGTATGTGTGTGTCTATGTGTTTGTTCCATTGTAATGCAGACATGTATTATTGGCGCATGTTTGTACTGGCACCCCACGCCAGCCCCGTCCCCCCCACTGGACCAGCGGAAGCTCCCAGGCCAGAGGAAGTGCCGGGCTCCTTTGTGAACAAGGCCCTCTCGGATTAAGCGTATCGCACCCTAAATGCAGGCCCTTTCTCCTGGGGATTATCTAAGGGACAGGGGGGCGCCCACTCCCACTGGGGCCCTGTCACCCAAATTCAACACACCGTCACCAGACCGTCCCTAGCCCCCTCGCTAGGATACAGGACATGAGGGGAGGCATTGTGCCCCTAGAGACAATGCTAAAGTGATTAGTGTGAGTTATTAAGGGACCATAGAAAATTCATTTTGACATGGGGCTTCAAGTTGATCCATCTCACTGTTGGACATGGTGAAAATATTCACAAGCATCAGGTTGTTGTGTACATATGTTTAGTCATTTTGAACTGTACTTATGCAGACATGTAGTCAAGACTAAAGCATTTAAGCTCAGCTGATTTTTTTTCATCATTGGGAATACCACCAGTGACTGTAACTAATTACATTTACAAGAACTTTACATAGGTAACCCCCTCACAGAGAAGTAGAGTCTGGTTGGGGCCCCCTTGTCATGTCATGTCTATGAGTTGTTGTTGTTAGCAGTTCTTTTAGAGAGACATTTCTCCTCTAACTCTCTCAGATGGTTTCATTTAAATAATGATTTGAGGCCCAAAGACAAAAACCTCCCCAATATTTCACACAAAAGCAAAGATTAAGGAAATATTCCAAAAGATGAATATAAATTTGGGTTGCAGAATTTTGTGTTTTCTTCTTCCCAACCCCATTAATCATTTCTAGACCCACGTTGGAAGGGCCAGACCTCTAAGTTGGGAACCACTGGACTAAACCAACTGTATATAAACTACTTGGAGGAGTATTGGTACATTATTGGAACAAATTTCCCCCAAGTGATAAATAAAGTATTTCTGATTCTGATTCTGATTATTTTACTTAAGGAAAGGGTGTGAGCCCATGATGCTAAAAACACTTTAGCCAAAATTGATCATTATCTGTACTGTAATTGATCATTATTAATTCATTGTCTGACTATAAAGGTGAACCAGGGTGCACAGGCATGCGAAGTGCCGCTGTGTAGGCATGGAGATGCAGAAAATGACTGCAGGGAGATAAATGTCGTCATCATTTAAAACCCTGTCTATGTGTATGTGCTTCTCTCCTCTCCCGCCCTACATTAATGTGTCTCTTGTTGCTAATGTCGCTCTTCCTCCTTTGTCTTTTCTCCTGCTCCTCTGGCGCAGGCCTGTGCATCTCTTTCTCTCTGAGGCAGTCATACATATTCCCACTAGCATTAGAATACTAATGTGTCAGTGTGAATAGAGTAAAGCTTTTGGGCGGTGGTGGGAGTCCACCCACCTCTCAATATGTGCGCTGTCTCTGAGAAGAATCTAAATCTTCTTTTGCTTGCTCTCTCCCTGCTGCTCAATCTAATTGAACTCCACTGTGGAAACTTCCCACTCCCTGTCTCATGTCCCCTTGAGCTTCTGTTGGATGTGGGAAATATATTTTCCAGAAGTTTAGAACAGGTAGAGGTGAGAGTCACAACCAGCTCCAGCCCCCTCCTAAACTTCTATCCATCCCACTC